TATTTTTGGAAAAATTTTGAAGACTTACTATAGTTTTCGTTGGATCAATTAAGGAAAAAAACACACATACTGTAGATGTAGTAAGATATTTATTGAAATAATACAGTATGTTTTAATATTGTCAATTTGAGTCACTCAAATTATTCTCATCTCCATGTTCATCTTCACTATCATCGTTCTCAACTTGTGTATTTTCAGTATTCTGACCTCTTTGTGTTATTTCTTTAGCTTTTAGGGAAAAATAAAAAGCATGGTAAGCTTCAGGGATGCTTAGAAGACTGTTTGATTTTGGTTTACATAGATCGAGTAAACCACTTAATTTTTTAGCATCTACTGGAAGCAAGCTTGTATATAGTAAAGGTAACTCCTGAGGTGAATTTTCCTTCATTCTCCTTCTTCGATTTCTCCTCAATTTTATTATACTGAGCTCATCAGCATAGTCATACTTGAATTTCATTTCATAAGGCATGTCTGAGGAGAAGTGTACCTCCCTTAATTTACTAATTTTCAGCTTTTCTCCGGAATCGTCTTTACTCCAGTTTTCCGAATTTACCTTTGACTTGAAACTAAAAAAATCCTTCTGAGACATCTCTTTCACGATGTATGGTCTTCCGGTTACTTTCGCCATGCGAATCAACATAATCCATTGATCGGGGGTATAAATTGCCGATTGCCGCTTTTTGGCATTTTCAATGACGGCGTGCATACTGTCCCCTTCGTTTTGTGTGTGACCTGTTTCTAGGAATCGATGGATTATCTGTAGATTCAGAGCCATAGAAGCATATGAAAACATCGAAAAAATGAAGCGGTTACGGTTTTGTCTACCGCAGTTGTCCGAGTAAAGAATAACTTTGTTTATCCCTTTCTCTTTTTGCTTTTTCAAAAAGTTTAAAATACAGCTGCTTATTTCGTTTGGCCCTCTCTTCGCAATTACTTCATGCCAAACGTAACAATAGCCTTCATGATTTCCCATGTCGTAAATGGTAAAGTTGTATGTGGCGAGTTTACTTTTGTAATAGAAGTCGCTTACAGCAGATTGGGGTGTCACCAGAACTTTTTGTAAGTCGAAGCACGCTGCGCTAATTGTCTTGTCATTGATTGCAGTTTCTTTATCTTCATCTTTTAAAGCTCATGCAGCTTTCTTATTAGAAACGTGTTTTTCATACTTCTCTTGTATTTTCTGCTTATCTGGCGAAGTTGCTAGTTGATAGGCTACACAGAGACTGCATTGGTCCTTCTTTGGTTTATGGAATGCTAAATTGAACTCGGCATTGATAACTTCTCTGTATTGTCTTAAAGTTCCTACTTCTGTAGCATTTCTCTGTTCCATGTACTTTAAGTAGAGGCGATGCATAATTGAAATGTTGAGACCATCCTCTAAGTACATCTTTGTTGATTTTTTCCTGGTATAGTGGGAAGGCACCACAGGAAAGAGTTGAATGTGCTCTCTTATCCCATTTAAGACACCTCCGTCAATTTTATTTGGTCTTGTCAGGTGCTTCCCTCGACGATCTTCTTCAAGAGTGCCAGTTTCTCCAATTTTTCCTAGAGCAGTCGTCACCCACTGCTCTGATATTCCATAGGTGTTCAGGAACATAGTTTTACAAACCGTTATTTCCTTGTTGTTGACAAGAAGCTGGTATGTTCTAGAATGATTTCGTCTTGATTTGCTATCTGTCCGTTTTACGTGCTTCTTCTCCACTGTTTTGACATACCTAACTATGTAATCCCATTGTCTAGAATGATCACCTATTTTCCAAAACTCCTCGAACAATGCTTTTCTCTCTTCCTCACTTATTTTTTGACGACATTTATTTCTGCAGTTTTCTTTACATGGATTCTTTATCTGTTTGGCGGGAATAATTGTACCTTTCCGGTTTTTATGTTCGATGCCCAAGTTTAATTCCTTCTTAGCTCGAACATCAATCCACTCATTTGTATTTTTTACACGTTTTCTGCCTTTCCTTTCTTTGGGCGTTATCTTACGCTTTTTAGGCACCTGAATTCGGTTTTTGGTTTCATGAGGTATAAATGGCACAATAGATGAATCAGAATCTGTTGTTTCTTCGGGTACATAAATAGGATCAATATCCGAGTCGTCTGAGAAATTTCCTTCCGTATTCGTAATGTCATGAGGTGTATCAAGAAGTACTACTGATGGATCTGTTTGTACAAAATTAAATCCAACTTCTATAGGGTCCTCTGCAGGGTGGTTGCTGGAAGCAACAGCTGTATCAGGCAAAGGGGCTCGCACATCCTGTACATTGACTACTGCACCAGCATACGCAGATTCCGTAATAAGACAGTTATCTGCACCTACAAAAATAAATACCTGTAAGAATCTATAAGTAGGAGAGAAAATCAATGTAGGTATAACATGATTCCAATGCATAACAGGCAAATGTGGATACTAAGCATGAACCAGAAAGAAAGAATTAATTACCCATGTTAGAAAATAATTACAAGACAAACTTACCTGAACCTGATGCATCATTTAGCTTCTTTGCATTTTCCAAAATGACTTTGGTCCTAGAATTCATTCTAGTTCTCTATATTTATCTATTTTCAGACAGCTACTACTTAAAACGTTTTGGGTTTAAATAATCATAACCTCGAATTATACCGCGAAGATTATAGTATGTCCAAACATAGAATGCCTACCGCGATTTTTTGCATCGAAAACTATAGTAACTCAACTTGATGTACTTTTCGCTGACAGCAATGTGAGTGATTATACTTACTATAATTCACGAAAGTTATACTGGTTGCCTATGGTTTCATAATTGAGATACTATATTCTTCCTCGAACGAGAAGCATAATATATCTATCGATACCTTATAGTAAGTCAAAAGTAAGGATTTTTGAGTTACTATAGTCTTCGTTGCAGGGGTCGATGTAAAGTAGGTGTTGAGGAACTTTGAGTCTCTTGTTGTGTCGTGTACAGATATGTTGGACTGTACTTGCCTAAAACAGCCTCAAAAATGATATGATTTATTGCTTGTTTAACGTATATTAAAGTGTGATTGTCATACTTTCTCAATTCATTTGCTATGTGCTGGCCATAACTGAAATATGGATCAGTAGCTTGAGACGTTTCAGTAAGAATTTTAAATGCTTCCGTCAACATTTCGTTTTCCTCTTCATCATGTTTTCGTTTGTTTGCGTTCTTCTTAGCAGGTTTTTCTGGAATCTTGGAGTTATCAACCTCTTTTGATTGTTCATTCATATTATCAGACCACCCTACAATATCGCTCACCGGCTGCAACATTGGCACAAATCAAAACTATATAATTTCGAGATATAGCTGGTTTAAGAATAGCCAAAACAAATTTAATTATTTTGACGTGTAACGTGACTCTTAGGTGATCTCGCTTTCATACGGATTTTCTGGCATTGGCATTACAATACATAATATCAATCAGAATTTGAGTTCTCTTTTAAATATGACATTTTGTTTTTTTTTTAAATTTTGACTTGTGCCGTTTTATGAACGTAGTTGTTGTCATTTTTGGAGTTGGAGCATGGTAAATACTCAGTATCATACTTTTCAAAATTTTAATTATCGCTCAACAACAGAACCTGCACATTAAAATGCGATACAAAAAATCTTATAAAGAACTAAACAATGTACTTTTGAAACAAATGAACCTGTAACTTTTTTGGAAATGAAAGGTACGCGCAACTTAAATTCTAGCTAATAATTTTATGATACAGAAGTTTTAACGAGAAACTAATCGACATCGTTAGATACTTTAAGGCTGTTATAGAATGGGCTATAACATTTCTTTATAGTATTCATGCGTAACAGGAACATCAGTCCATCGTACTTCTTTTTTGATATCGGAAGTATATCTCGATAAGCCGGTTCCAACTTCACATTATCGAAAGTTTGATTTGTTCGGGTAGTTCTTTGTTTAATCTCAACAACTCTATATTTAGGCTCACTATAAGAAATTTTGTATAAAAATTTATCTAGATTTTCTTTTTCTATCCTTACGATAGCTGCATTAGCCAGCTTTACAACCTCACCGGAAGAGTCCTTCTTAAAGTTAAAAGATGTCTGTTCAGATAACTTTTTTAGATCTACAAAATCGGCGTAGCTCATTTCTTGGACTTTGTAAGGTAATCCAGTCTTTTTGGCTGTCTGAACCAGTGATACGTACTGGTCAGGTGTATATATTGGACCTGATTTCAGGGCACGTTTAACATGTTTTTCAATAACCGAATGAACGTTATCGCCTTCGTTCTGCGTATGTCCTGTTATAAGGTATTTGTGTGTAATTGATTTTATGTTGTATTTTGATAATGCATAAAAATATGCAGCGAGAATAAATTTGTTTTTTTGCTGTCCAGCGCAGTTGTCAGAACAAAAAAATACTTCTACATTTTCTTGAGCAGAAGCCTTGTATTCAAGGTATTTTAGTAAGCATGAACCAATTTCATTAGACCCGCGTCTTCGTTGACCCTCATGCCACATGAAACACACCACTTGTCCCTGTCCCGTTTTATTCAAATCACACATAGTGAAGTTATACGTCGACAGTTTTGATTTATAATAAAAGTCAGAAACATCTCCTTGAGGACATGGCAGAACAGCTTGTAAGTCGTAACAACAAACCTGGTATTTATCACTGACTTTTTCTTTGTCGGCTAGTTTTTCTGCTCTGCTTAATTTTTTTTCATTTTGGTGTTGCTCATATAGCTTTTCTAATTCTTTCTTTTCCCCTTCATTTGCGTTGCCATAGGCAACGCACGTGTGGCATTGATCTTTTTTAGGAATGAAAAATGCTAGGTTAAATTCATAATTGAATATGTTTCTATACATAGTCAGTGTTGCCGTTGCTTTACCTCTAGCAACGCAATCTTTTTTGTAATCTCTGTATAAATCAGTGATAGTTTTGCTACCTTCTATGTATTTTTTCTCACTGTGAGCTCTTGTATAGTGACTCTCTATTTGAGGTATTGATGCAATATGAGCACGAACATCATTTTTAATTTCATCAGATATTCGGGTTTGATTACCATGTTTCCCCCTTTTGTCTTCAAAATCACCTTCAGCTCTTTTCGATATGACACTCCGAATACAGCGATTGCTGATGCCAAAAGTTGATGTGAAGAATTTCTTGCAAACCCTAAGTTTCTCTTCTCCTTTTTCCAAATGAAACGAATTATTATTAGTTCGTTTTCGTTTGCCATTGATTAGAATGGGATACGTGTATTTTGGTGTGATTTCTTGCATCAGAGTAGCAATAAACACCCTCTGTTTGTTAATATTGGCTAAATTCCAGAACTTGGTGAACAGGAACTTCCTATCCTCTTCAGTGAATTTTGCTGTACATTTTAGCTTGCAAGTGCCGTCACAGGGTTGTGTCATTTGTCTACTAGATACTGGTTTATTCTTGTTTAAGGAGTGGTATTCTTGTCCACTGTTCCTTAATAGCTTTGTTTTATTTCTTTTCCATTCACAGGGCTCTGCTTTTCTCTTCCTACTCTTCTTTTTCTCTGTGCATGATTCCGTCGGGCATTGAGAATGTTGTGATACAACTGGTTCTTCATAGTCAGGATCCATTATTGAATCGTCAGATGAAAAAGGATCTTCTAAGTCCAACTGCTCTTGTCCAGTTCCAATTTCGTCTCTGCTTTCTTCCGCCTCCGAGAGCTCTTGCGTAGTTGTAGCACATGACTCTCCATCTAAAACTGCTTCTCTTTCTTGAATTCTGCAATTATCTGATGGAAAAAGACTTCCTACGCCTAGTTCCTCTACTATTTGGTTTTCAACAAGCTTGCAATCACCATCTTTTTCAAATTTCTTACTCCTAACAGAAGCTTCCGGGACTTGTGGAGATGTGTTTTCTTTGTCCGCTTCACTTTCTGAAGCTCGTTCTATGTTTTTAGGCGTTACGCTGGTTGAGTCTGCATTAGTAGCTTGAGGTACTATCTTCCACTCTTCGCTGGTGGGTCCTTTCTTTAATTTGATCCCTACCATAGAGAGTATTTTTGCGCTCCTCGTTTTTTCCATTGTACCCGACAATAACTGAAACAATGTATACTACTAATACTTGAATGCTATAAATTTCTTTAAAATGGATCAATAAACATCATAAAGACACAAACAATTTTCAAAATTGCGAGAGCAATTTTTGTCATTACTTTTCAGCCACAAAAATAAGCTACATCATACAAAACAGATTTCTGTTTGCGTAGGCTTTGGTAAATACTTATCAGTTTTGTAGCATAACATAAAATGCAAGAATGGCACATATCGCAATATTACCGTATTCGCTTATATAATTTGACCACAGTTTGGGTGCAATAATGGCATATTTCGAAATATGCCACTAGTGATAGCTTGCATAAATATGCTTTGACCACTATCTAGGTTCAAGAAAGGCACATTTCGAATTATGCTATTATTGCTTACCAGTGTAAATAAAATTTGTCCACTACTTTGATGCAATGAAGGCACATCTTGAAATATGTCGCTATTGCTTACCTGCACAAAATAGGATTCAGGAAAATGACGGTTTTCAGCCTTAAGTGTCACTATTACGTGCGTCCCACACAACTTCCGCAAGGCTACTGGCACGCTACTGGGTAGATGTGTCGGTATTGCCCGTAGATGCAAGGAAGATCAACTAAAATTCGGAAACGGCACAAGTGCCATCTAGCGGTTTCTATCACAATATACGGTTGTGCCAGTATTGCAGGAAATGAAGTGAATATTGATGGATGATTCGCGATTGAAAGTACGATTTTGTTTTTTTTTTGATTTGTGCCGCTATTGCAGCCGGCGAGCGATATTTTCTGCATTATTTTGTTGCAAAGTTTCTTGTGAAGTTCCTTGTGAAGATTCACCTTTATTATGTGATGTAGGTTCCTGGAAAAAACGTGCGTATATTTATCAGAAGCTGATCAACTTTGGGGGTATGTTGAACATTCCAGCCAGCGTAATATTTTATTTGTATGCCATTCATTAGCTCAAAAAGCACAATGAATAATTCATTTGTTGGTATATCAGTGTACATTAATATATGAGCATCATTTTTTTATCGCTTCATAACTAAACCGTGTTGTTAACTTCTCTAATTTTTCAGTTAATTCATTAACTTGTTGTTTCAAAAAATAAATCTCAGCATCTTGAGAAGCAGATTATGGGCTGAGAAGTAAAATATCAAGTTTTAATCCAGTCACTGTTTGTTCTGGATTGTTAAAGGGGTTTTGATGGTTCACTTGGCAGCTTGCCTTGAGTGGAGCAAGGCTGTGTAGAAATGCCTGGTAGTGAGTCAGCAAATGATGACTGATTCTCCTGTTGATTCTCCTGTTGCTTTACGGACCGCTTTCTAAAAAAAAGCTCATATTATGATCATGCTTTTTATGCAGTATGCACACCTTTTTTCTGAGGTTGTTATGTTGAATCTCTTTTTAATATTGAAATCAAATAATGTTGGTCCATTTTTCTTATCCTGATCTATAAAATGGCAATCACATACTTTGGAGAATTGACTAGGACCTCTATCTTTTCTCCTGTAAATAAAAACAATTAAAAATGTATCTATAAAAACTAATGTATTATCCCTTTACCTTATAAGAGAAATCCATCTATTCCTTTCTGTCTTGTTTAAAGGAAACCGAAAAAACCTGCACGTTTGTTTTTCACTGTAGTGCTTGCAGTCAGGCACAAAGCACATTCCCATTATAATGAATCCGTGGACACCTTAAAATACATATAATTAAAACCAGGAACTCAGTTATTTCGTTAAATTTAACCCTAGACTGCATAGGCAAAAATCGCACCTGTCGTTGCTTACTTGGGGTTACCTGTAACCCCATCTATATATTTCCCAAACACATGGAAACAAACAAACAATAATAAATAAAGACTTTATATTGTAAAGTAACACTACTACAATACCTACTTTAAACAATCAGTGCATATTTCAACTCTATGTGTATTGCAAACGGCCTTAAAACATTTGGCACATCATGCAGTTTTTGTCTTTCGATCGTTGGCCCTTGGGCAGACAGTGCAGCGCATTTGTTTCTGTACTTTAGTTGGAGGTTGATCAACTGTCTTCTCTAGTTCCATGCCTAGAATATTTTTTATGGAAGATGTTGAACTTCGAGGTAGAGGTTTTGTTAAACGCCGCTCCATATGGGGTCTTGAAAGTTGCAACCCAAGTTCGAATAAATATTTTCTTCTGACGCTTTTTTGTCTGTCCTGCTTAGCAATTTGGAAAATTATATTAGAGTTAACCCCTGCTTGGTCCAGCATTCCATAAAAAAAGCGCAGTGGCCATCTACGTGTTTTGCGAGAAACGGAACTAGCATGAACCATTTGGTCGAAGGTGTCGACTCCTCCTTTGGTTGAATTGTAAAAATTTATAATCTCGGGCTTCAGATTTTCATCTACTACTTTACCAGTATGCATTGTAGATAGTAAAAGTACCGATTTAGATTTTTTAGGAGTAAACGATACTAAAGTTTTTTCATTATCGAATGCAAATTGGGATGTATTCACTTCTTTTTTTTGTTTGGAAGAAAAGATGAGGGAACTTCCCTTTTGTTTTTACGAAGAGTTCCCACAACTGTTAAATTAAAATCCGAAAGCATTTTGTCGGCTAATGGAACAGAAGTGAACCAGTTATCCATTGTTAAGTTACGTCCTGTTCCGTGAATAGACTCTGTTAACTTTTTTACATAGTAATCTGGGAGCGGTTATTTATTTTCCCGGTGCTCTTTGCCAATATATGGTATAGCAGATATCATATAAAAGTGCGCGAATCGCACATTGTCACAATCTTTAGACCATACTTATCTGGTTTTGAGGAAATGTAGACTCTAAAGGGACAATTGCCGCGAAATCCTAGTAACTGTTCATCAACCGTGCAGTAACTATGAGGAGTATAGTGTTGAGTACATCGAGATATAAAGATCTCCCATAAATTGCGAATAGGTGAAAATTTATCGTCGCGGTTTCTTACTGTCTTATCGTCAAATCTGAGACATGAAATAAGAAATCTAAATCTTGTTTCACTTATAATACATTGATATATCTCTGGTCCATATTTTGACCACATTTCAGCATTAGTTAAGTGATTGTCTTTACGGCATCATGATATATAAAGCAGACCTATTAAGGCTAAAATTTCCGTGTCATCTGTGTTATTGATATATCCACAATCTTGACTGTAGTTGCTTTTTTGTCTCCCAATCTCCATATTGGTATACAAAACAATCTTGTTTATTACATCATCGCTGACGAACAACTTCCATGCTTCTAACTCTGTTGATACATTTTTGGCAATACCCTTCGGGCCAGGAACACGTACAACTATATTTCGCCGAGGCGTGCGAGTTCGATATTGAGGCTCGGAGCTCCAAAGGTGTCCATTTTTTTCCTCTTATTACCTTCCTTGTAATCTCAACTTGATCTGCCGTTGGTTCTTCTTCGCTGTCCTCATCCAAAACGGTAGAATCACTTTCAGACTGAACTGACACATTATCTTCGTAATCGGAGCCACCATTATCAGAATCACACTCATTTTTAAGTTCATCATTCCATCGCAAAAGCGTCTCCTCAAATTTGGGATCACCCGGTCGCACAGCCATCTAAAAATAACGCTACTTGTCAATAATGCAATAAAACTTTAACAAACGGTCCTGCTTACCTGGGGTTACGCGCCACCCCACAACTCACAATATCAGAAAACGCCTTAACTGAGTAAACACCTATAACCCACTGTCTGGCGTTGCCAACTCCTCGGTAAGGAAATGATTAAAGAATAAAATTTTGCTGGGGTTACCGGTAACCCCACTAAGCATTCTAGGGTTAAATAACATATAAACATAACCTTAAAAAGTTTTAAAACATTATTACTGTCCTAATATTACTTACTTGAAAAATAAATTAACCCTACAGTTGTCGCGTGATAAATTTAGGATAGTTTGGTCGCGTCGGTCCCTGAGACCGGCTTTACTAGGTAGAAAAAAGTTGCATATTACGAAGTAGGTTTGACTTTTTTCAAATAAAAATGATAATACTGCATACTTTAAACCAGTTTTATTTAAATTAAAAACATATCCCTACAAAATAACAAGCAAAATGCAAAGAAGAGGTAGCTCTAAAAAGGAGTAGTAAAAAAAGTTAAAAAAACATTGCTATACTGAACTATTGAAAAACGCTGTACAAAGGTAAACTGAATCATTTACAATCGTTACATATGCCAAATAAGTGTTCTAAGCACAAAAAAACACCGCAATGTTCGCATTTATATTTTGTTTTGCGGTTTTTCTTAGATCCACAAAATTTGCATCTTCCAATTTGCCCTCTTTCAACTGGAGCTTCGGTAGTATCTTGGTTTGTTAGTTCTTTTAGACGTAATCGCATCAGTCTTGGAATATATGGCGAACTGGACCTTTTTCGCATATGTGGAGTAAAAAGTTCATATGATAAATTATGAATGAAAGCTCTTCTCAAAACCTCAGCATTCGGATTATTAGCCAAGTAAATAATTTGGCTATTTATACCAGCAATATTCATTAGTGCATAAAATATCACTACAGGCCACCTTCTGGTACCACGAGCACAGTTATAGTTGGCAATTAGCTTGTCCACTATATCAACACCACTTTTTGTGGAATTATAATCAGTTATTATAACTGGTTTCAAAAGATCACCTGTGTTTAAATCTAAATCATCATTGTGATGCATCGTGGACAAAAGTAATACATTCTTTCTTTTTTTAGGAATGTATGATACAAGTGTACATTCACAGTGAAATCCAAACATGCTAGACTTTGGTGGTCTGGTTGCCGGAACTGTAAACTCCAAGGGTAGCTCTCGCTTATTTTTGCGGATAGTACCTACAGCTGTCAATTTTTTTTGATAAAGTTGTCTAAATAATGGAACGCTAGTGAACCAATTATCCATTGTGATATTTCTATTTGTTCCTTGAATTCCCTTTGAGAGTCTCATGACAACATCAAGAGCACTGTTTGATACTTTATAAGGACCTTCTGGTTGAAGACCAACATACACTTCCAAATTACTGGTATAGTACATTTTAGCGTCACACATTGCTAAAACCTGTATCCCGTATTTGTTTGGCTTTGACGGAATATACTGCCGGAAATTACATTTCCCACGAAATCCCAAAAGCATTTCATCAATTGTGACGAATTCCGAATTATGATATCCTTTGCGGCATCGTTCTACAAACAAATCAAAAATATGTCGTATTGCAGCAAGTTTATCCTGTTTCAGTCGATCCTGACGTGAAGCTTTATTATCAAAACGTAAGACTCGCATCAAAAACCTGAATCTTCTAAGAGACATCACTAACCGAAATATTTCTATTCCAGATCCGTCAGCTTTCCATAAATCGTCTAAATTGAGATGACTCGCCTTGTACTTTCCAGCTAAATACAGTAAACCCAGAAGTGCATGAATTTCATCTGAATTTGTAAAATTTGCATCCCTGTCTCTTGCAAAATTTGCTTGAATGCCCTCAATCATTTCGTTAGTATGTATAACAATAGTATCAATAATTTCTTCTGAAAAAAAATATTTCCAAATTTCTATGGGAGTTTTCAAGTTTTTTGTGTATGTACTTGGTCCTGGCAATACTTTTATGATATTCTCAGATCTAGTCTTAGTATTCTTCGGTAAGGGAGAAACTTTTTTCCATCTTGTTTGCTTATCCTTACCCAAAAAACTTAGGGTATTGCTGAGTGGTGGCTCAAAATATGTGATGTTAGCTTCTTCGTTTGAACCATGAGCTTCTAGAGGCTCCTGAACAAAATCTGCTTCATCACAGTCCGATTCGGAATCCAAATATTCTTCACCTTTGTCGATAATTTGGTTGGAGGAACAACTTTCTAACTGATGACTGGAAATCTCATCTTCGTCAGAATCATGGTCCGACTCAGTGTCTGTGATGGTGACTGTTTCAAACAAATATTGAAGTCGCTGTTGTTCCTTTTCATAAGTATACCTGTACATCTACAAATACCAAAATCATAAGATAACGCCATGGGATTACTGAAATAATTGAATTTATACACCTCACCTTGTTTGCGTTCAGTGTTCACGATCGTGCGTAAATAGTCGCGTCTAGTGATGTGTAGTTCGCGAACGAACTAGTTCAAACGAAAGATTCTTCTGACTGAACTAAATGAACTAGTTCCTCATTCCCCGAGAAACTCTTTCACTCGTTCACCACGAACTAACAGAACCGCCGCCGTTGCGAATCAACGAACGAAAGAGATAAAGAGAACGAAACAGGTTCAAGAGAAGAGAGGCGCTCTTGTGAACGAACGAAAGACCGAGAATGGGATAGGAAAATGTTGCCAAGCTTAAAGAACTTTCGTGAGATCTAAGAATGTTCCATCTGCGGAGCAGAATTCGGAACTTTTCAGATGCAAAAGAATGTTGTTGATATTATATTATGGTGAATTTGAGCAGAAGATATTTTTACGTTTTTGATAAAAAGATGAAAAGTTAACTACACGTGGTGTTTCCTAGCGGTCACCAATCCAAGTATTAACGGCACATTATTATACAAACTGAATCATACGTATTACGTATATACTTTTTGATAGCTACTTAGCTACTGCGGATTAATATTAAGCATATATTTATTGTCGTGGACTTTGATCTTATATGGTTAGAACTATTACTTCAGCAAATCAGCAGTGATCGAAACGTCGAGTAAAACACAGAAAATAGAATATTTATTTGAAAATAAATAATAAAGAATCAACATAAAATTGTACAAAAACATAAAGTTATAAAAACATAACAAATACTGCTGACTGCAGGTTACAAAGGCCAGAAGAAATAAAAATTAGCTCCTATCAAGGATAATTAGGAAAAAACAAAACTAAAACGAAAATGTGATAAATCAACATAACTATAAATTTCCATTCAAAAACATTATTTTTTGAACTTTGTCAGCTCCTAACCTACTTCTTCTTTCCGTCAGGACTTGCCCAGCCTTCGAAAAAAGCCGCTCACATGGCACAGATGTTGCTATCAGACATAAACGTTTTTTCACCATTTCGAACAGTCTAGGATATACCTTCGCTCTCTCCTGCCACCATTTTAGAGGATCTTCTGTTCTTGGTAAAAGCGGTTCTGCCAAATATTTATCGAGCTCTATAATCCCTCCTGCCAACGAACTTTGTGCACCAGAAAGACTTTTTACTTCTTGGTCAAAATCGTCCCAAAGGTCTGAGTCTGTTTTCACCCTTTTGGATTCATTTTCCTCCTGGTTTGAGTCTAAAATACTCTGATTGGGTGGATTCATTGCTGAAAGTTTTGTTTTCAACTGTTCAATTGAAGCTTTGAATTTTTGTTCATCTGTGAATCCAAGCTTTTTATATCGTGAATCCAGAATTGTTGCTTGACAAGCAAGCTCGTTGTCTTCATAGCTCCTAGATCTTTTTAGTATTTGTTCACTTAATTTCTCCATCATACGCATGATTTCAATTGGAGCTGATTCTCCGCGTAAGAAAATGTAGAGGCTGTGCAGCTTTCTCCGCATTATTTTTAATATTGGAAGCGTTTTGGACAGTGCGGAGATTTCGTTAGTCACATCCTGGAACAATTTTAGAATTTGCGTGCCATATTGGATGATCTTCCAGTCATGGCTACTTAACGAGGAACTTAAGTCATTTTCTAGAATGGCTAACGTACTAATAACCGCCTCTTTGACTTCCATTATCCTCGAGAGCATATTATATGTGGAGTCTCCACATCTTGTTTCAATTTACGAGGTGGTAAACTCATCTGCTCTTGTATATGAGTCAGTCTCGATTGAGCCTGTGAGCTACGTTTGAAAAACTCAACAATAGATTTTACTTTTTTTATAGTTTCGCCAATCTCTTTAATTGCCTCCTGTACAACTAAATTCAATGTGTGCGCGAAGCACGGCAAATGACGCCATTGGCAACGTCGCACTGCTGCAATCATGTTTGGGGCGTTATCCGTTGTACAGGCGGCAATTTTATTTTCCATGTTAAATTCTTTTACTGTGTCCAATAAAAACTTACTCAAATTTTCCGCAGTGTGACGTTCCCCGTAACATTCGCAGTTCAATAACGCTGAAGATAGTTTCAAATCGTCACTAAAAAAATGAACTGTTACACCAATAAAATTTTCATTGTTCTCGTAGATGTCCATGAATCTACGGTTAAATTTGCTGCACTTACATACTGCATCCGGTTCTTTAATTTTTCAAGTTCGGAAAGATAAAGATTCGGTATGAGAGTCTGAGAAATTGTTTTTCTCGTGGGCAGAGAATATCCTGGGTTCAACATGTTGACGAACTTTTTGAATTCCTTATCTTCCACAATTGAAATGGGTTGGTACTCTTTGACAATCATCCGCACTAACTGCAAATCTAAGTTTTTTGCTTTTGACGAGGGGACAGGCCGAACAAAATATTCTCGCAGTGTACTCGACGACACAGGATATTTCAAATGTACTGCAGTATTTACCCGCTCATCTTGCATGTTTGATGTTGCCGGTTGTGGTTCAAGAAGGTGAGGCACATTATCCAGATTTTGTCCGTCAGCAAGTGGTCCTTGTATCTCTCGTTCAGCAACAGTTTTAAGAGTAGGGTGCTTAGCTTTCATATGTCTTGACAAATTTCCTAACGAACCACTTGCAATGCTGATGTTTTGGCTACAATATTTGCACTTTGCTTTTAGGTTTTCAGATTTATCGAAATGGTTCCAAATTGCACTTCTATTTCTCCTCTCCATTTTCAAACAAATTTTCGGTCGTCAGGTAAAATAAAAAGTTCAAAATTTGCACGCTCGGTCTTCGATCCTACCAGCTTCCCACGTCCTTATCAACACGCTACAGCCTACGGTGCCGGCATGGTCCATGGTATCGGCGCACGCGTGAGCGATCGTGAACGAGAAAGAGTATTGCCAAGTGTACAGAACTTTAGCCATATCTAAGGATTTGTCAACTATGGAACAGAATTAAGGACGCTTCAGATGTAAAATAAAGTTGTCATTTTATTTAGATGCGTATTATTGAGCAGCAGATACTATAATTTACTAAAAAAAAAGAAAGCAAACTAAATATGGTATTCCTAGCGATCATTCATCCAAATATCAACCGTGCCGGATGCTGCTTAGCCCCTATAATAATAATAATGATAATAATAATAATAATAATAATAATAATAATAATAATAATAATAGTAATAATTTTTTTAACAAAGCTGAAATGTAGACAACAAATGCTATCTACTGCTCGAAATTGAATAAAGCATCTAGTAAAGCTGTTGAAATTTATCATATTATAAACGGGATCGGCAACCATGTCTACTGTCTACTATAGGCTGTATATGCGTTGCGTAATATATTTCGTTCGCGAACTAGATGACAACGTGGTCACCTTTAACCGTTAATGTATGGTGTACTATGTGTTGCATAAATCTAGTTCGTTCGTGAACTAGTTCCTAGAACTAGTTCGTTTCGGTGAATGAGATCTATTGAACTAGTTCACCGAAATGAACTAAAAAGTACATCACTAGTCGCGTCGGTGCCTGAGACCGATATTGGCTGTTGACCGCACAATATCACACTAACCAATGTTGCCGCATGTCTAGAAGAAGCGTTGAATGAAGTGGGGGGAATTCCTAGAGCGGCGTACTATTGCAAGCATATTTGGGGTTTTTACCGATATTTTGATTCTTCGTCGGTCTGTGAGACCGTACGCGACTATTGGAGGGTTAATACAAATCTAGTCAAAGGCACGTTTTTAAAGTCAAATATTGTAGTTAAAGCTCTTATTTTCTCCTGGAAAATGACAAAAAACACTAAAAGAAAAATCCTTATGGGAATTCACCCTTATAACCGAATTTGTTTGGAGCTGAGACCTGTTAGAAACGATTAGTATTGTAAGCAGTACGTATGCCATCTGTTATTGAAAAAAAAGGCAAGTGGAATAATATTTAAAAACTTCTTTTGTTAGTAGTAATTTTATTAACCCATTAATGCCCAGAATTATTTTTTTCTGGCATTTCACTTAATCTTTTGATATGTTATCATTATTTGGTAACATTTTCATATAAAATTCTGATTTTATAAAAATTATGGTTTTGAAGTAGTTTTTTTTATGTATGATAAATCATACGCTGGGCTACAGTGGGATGAAAAAAAGTCAAAAACAATGGTATATCTAATATATATTCAAAGAAACAATTATAGAATAATACATCCATAAAAAGCCTAAAGATTACTTCTGGTGATATTGTCGGAAACATTTATCTGGATGTAGACCTATATTGCATTTTACACAGGAAAATTTTGTACATTTTCCACATTTTCCACAACGACGCTGCGTCTCCTGTCGGTCAATCCAGTGCTCTTTTCCATCGTATCGAACTTCTGATAGAACCTTACAGGATAGTTTTGGTTTTGGACCAGTATTTGAGTTTGAAGGTGGCGCAGCTAAAAGCGCTAGGACTACTCTTCTACGAAATTCAAGGAGAGGAGATTCATTCCTTGATAGAAGTGCCTGACGATATAAATACCACATATTGACAATAGATCCGTCCAGGCAAAAGCGAATCAACGGCCAGTACCATTTTTTCGACCTAATCCTAGATCTATACAAGCCTCTCATTTGGTCGAATCGATCGACACCTCCCATTCCTTTATTATATAAATGTACTAGAGACGGTTGATCAACTTGGATAGCAGATTTGTCCTTCTTCGACCATCGTTTACACGAGCCTTTCGTCTGGTAAAGGGTTTTGTCTTGTACATTTGATATAACAGTAACTTGACTATTGTCATGCCAACGTGTCAATGTTATGTTGGATGTTGAGTCATGAATTGTGTAGTGACTACCCCTATTATCCTTTTTTAAATCTTTGAGAGGAGCTTTCTCTACTCGATCTGATCTTACCGTACCCACACAGTATAGTTTATTAGCTGTTAGGGTTTCTAATAGAGGAATAGAGGTAAAATAGTTATCTAGGAAAATGGTACTATTTTGTTCTAAAAAATTTAGGCACAGTTTCTCAGTTACACTTGAGCCAAGTGATTTGCCTTCTATTTTGTCTCCTGCACCGGTATAAACATTAAATTTGACGAGATATCCATCATAGGTACATAAACACCAGAATTTGAAGCCAAAGCGTATGGGCTTTCCTCTAATGAATTGCTTCATATGATGTCTCCCATAATAAGGCTCCATTGCCTCATCTACAGATACGTACTTTCCTAATAGAGAAATACATTCCTGTGATATTTTATTTAGGTGGTCGATCATTCAAGTGAAAAAATCTGTGGATAGTTTCAAACTTGTTTCTTGACAACGCGTTTGTAACTAGAGGGTTATTGGTATCCATTTGTGTTTCCCAGTAGCAGCGTTTGGAAGGTACTGGACTATACCCAGACAAGAGAATTATAGCTAGATATTTATAGATATCTTCAGCTGTGACTGAGAAACCATGAAATCCCTTCTGGTCGGCATATCTTTTTGTTTCTATACACATTGTGGTGATTATGTCTTCACTAAAAAAAACTTTGAACAAATCGATCGGCGCCATATTTCTCTCTAATATATCGGTAAGAATACAGGGAGTATTTTCCTTTAGTAACTCAATTCGCTGGTCTCGTGGTTCAAGGGTTATTTCTTGCCATGCTCTATTGACTTTTTGTGTACTTTTTCTGACAGAAGGAATTTGAATTTTCAGTCTTTTCTGCTTATCAGCCAGGGTTTCATCATCACTCTCTTCCCAGTTCTGGTCACTTGGTCGGATTTGTAGAGGAGACTGAATTCCAGTTTTGATTGGAGATTTCTCTTTATTCTTGTGCAAAACAAAAAGTTTTTAATTATCGACTTTGTCGTGCTCGTCGAGTAGTGGAAAACGCATTCGGAATCATAGCATCACGCTTTCGCGTATTTAGGAAACCAATTTGTTTAAAAGTCGAAAATATTGACAAAATTGTCTTATGTGCATGTGTCTTGCATATTTTTTTAAAAAAAACATTGTAAAATTACTGCAATCAATACTGAAAATGAGGATATTAGGTCAATAATGAAGAGTATACCCCATCAAGGAAGTAACAATACAAGTGACGTATTTGACGGGTGACGGTATTTTTATAATGAGGGACAGACTGATTTTCTGTGGAAATACATTTAGGAATATGTTGACTTTATATAGAATGTTATTCCATTTTCACTAATATACTACTGAAAATTCAAAGAATCAGTTTTAATACTTACATATTGTTTTGTAGTTGGAGTACACACTGTTTTCCCTGATGTTGTAACGTCATCCAAAAAGGCCATACTACTAAACCAAAATAAGCTTGGAATATAAATATCCTCTGCGCCCGACCCTATAAACAAAATATCTTTTTAATATACAGTGATATAATATATACAATGATATAAACATAGCCTATGTTTAAAACCTTTATATTAATTAAAATCACGAAAACTGTATAATAGTACTGAACTACAAGATTATTTTTACATACCTGTACTTTTTGATAACTCAACTTTTTTTTTCCTGCAAATACGTCGATCGAATGTTGTTTATTTTCTTCTTCACGTTTTCTATTGAAATATTCATAATATCGGCAATAGCTTCATACGCGTTGTTCCTTTTGTTGATGTCTCTATAATCTCTACATTTAATGTTCCATAAACACTCAAATGATCTATAAAGATCAATAAATTGTTCCATTTGCTCGCTGGAAAACTTTAGTTCCGCCATTTTATATTATCGAGAAACAGGTGCTCTCGTACAACAAGTCGGATTGTATTCGCTACGAGCTCCGAGTAACCGTTTACATTTCCGAAATTTAGTCCGAGAAGCGAAACTCGGATCCGAGTACTCGTAAATGTAAATGCCGCTTAAGATAGTGTGGTGACCGGTATTGTCACCTGACCGGGAATACCCGCCCGTACCCTAAGAGCCCTTTCAGACGAGGATACCGTATGCGAGATACAGAATTACGACCGGATACTTTTTTACTTCTGTATCGCATACCGCCTTGTTATACGCAAAACAGACGCAGTGTAGTGCAGTTGTAATTATGGAAATAGAAGAGTGTATCGCGGTGTGGTATTTATTAAATAATAAGAAGAAGAAACTAAAAAGGAGACGTAGTTTGTGGGTTCATCCCATGTTGGGATTAAGAGAAAGCAAAGGAACGTATAATTTATTACATGAAGATTTGTTGCAAGATCCATCGAAGTTTTTCAATTATTATCGAATGTCTATTCAGTCCTTTGAGAAACTTCATAATATTTTGGAAAACAAACTAATTAAAAAGGACACAACTATGCGTAGAAGTATTTCGTCAAAAGAACGACTATCTATGACATTAAGGTAAGGAAAAAATACTTATAGATGTTTTTTTTCTAAATCTATTTGTATTTAAAGTAGTACAAGAAAAATAATAATTAATTATCAGCTCCACAATTTTGGTCTTAGCCTTGGTAATCAACAAGAAGATCGATGATGGATCCGTCTGTTGCAGTTGATTCAACGGAATGGGGTGAGAGGATGGGAACAGTGTCTGTTCTTTCATTGGATGAACATTGTAACTCAATGAATGAAGTGTTGGATGACGAATGGGGAGATAAATGAGAATGAGTGGAAGAAGGATGACCATAAACGTGCACTTGTGAAGATGATGACTTATGAATAGGAAGATGTTGTGTAGAAGGGGGATTAGGAGCGGATGGATAAAACGGCAAATGTTGTACATGGTTGTAATTA